TTGTAAATAAAACAAAATTGCAGTTAAATATATCGTATATATGTAACGCATATTCCCTAATTTGAATTCGAACACTTCGAACTCACTCGTCACACTATTCTATGGTTTAGTCCGATATGAGCTAGCAGAGGGACCTAATGGACCTATAGATCATGGACTCCAACGATCCAAGATTAACCTGTTAAACTCATTAACCTGGTTAACCAACATTCGTTAACTACTAGGACACTCCACTATAGCCTAGTAGTTGCACTCCCCTCACTATAGATATATTTCTGTCCATCTGATATAACCATGATTAGTAAGTCGATCCTTCACAGGTTGTTCGTAACTAGAGCTGGGTCAATTTACCGTTTTACCCCTGAAGTTACTTCTTGTTCCTTATGTCTCACTGATCCTCTAATGAACAATTGGTTTGTGGTCCAACCAATAAACCGAATCCCTCTCAGGCCAATGAGAGGGTGGGGCCCCTTGTTCAAGACCTGGAGTCAGTGCTTAAGGGAACTACTTTTCTTCTATCCCTAAAATCAGGTAGGAGTGAATTCCGTCTTGCACCCCACGTCCCCAGCCATTCACCCAGTCTTACCCCTAAAATGGGAGGCCTATTGAGTTGGCGAACTAAAGCCACTCTCACCCATGCAAATCTAAAGATAATTCCGAATAAACAAGAGTTCATGGTTAGCTCAGGATTAAAACCGAGTTACCTAGGTTATCGAATGAAAAGAAAATCAGTCTCAACAGTAAACGACATTATAAAGTGAGAGTGGTTTTCTTCATGGTCCGATCTTATGCAATACTCATTACATAGGACGCCCCCACTCACATGTCTCCACATGTACAATTTAGTGATCACATTGTTTATATCATATACAAAAGTGGGCCGCATCCATAGTGTCCCCAAAATAAGGTACTCAGCCTTATCCTTATACTATAGATCATTTTGACTATATACATGAACTTGATCCACTCTTATGTCTCTACATATAGTTCAAGTAATCATACTATAGCCAGAGTGTTCTTAGTTTATTGGATTTAGATTAATGATCGTAAAGTTTACTTTATTCAATAACAATTTTTACTGAATAAACAACAATAATAACTTTATTGAAAATAGAATATATCTTTGTTTACAAACTATGAGTTTGAAGACATAAAACTCAACAGTTTCATCTTTCTTTGCCACCAATAGGTCGAGTATAGAACATGAACTCAAACTTTCTCATATATAGCCCTTCTTCATGAGCTCCTCCACTTGCCTTTGAATTTTTTTAGTCTCAGTTGGATTGACTCTATAAGCTGGCTTGTTAGGAATGACAACACCGAGAATGAAGTCTATTTGATGTTCAGCACCTCTAATGAGAGGTAGTTCTTTAAAAGAGATTGAAAACACTAGACAAAGTCAAGGTGTTATAGTTAAAAACCCAAAATTCTTCCTTGTACATAAGTACAAAGATGGTATCTTGTGAAAACATTGGCTTCTCACCTCTCCAACTCTAGCTAAACAACTCACTTGCTTTCTCTTTTTTTCAATTTCATCTCTTTTTTCGTTTTTTTTTTTCACTTTTTTTTTTCTATTTGATTTTTCTCTATTTTTTCACTAAATTCTTGTTTTCATTTCAACTCTTTATATTTTTCCTCCAACTTTAATTGATTAGCAAATACATTTGCAGAACTCAAAGGTACAATAGTAGTTTTTCTACCATCTTTTACAAAAGAATACCTATCCAAATAACTATCATACATGATCCTCCTGTCAAATTGTCATGGTTGGCCAAACAATATGTCTCCAGCATTCATTGGTAACACATCACAAAGAACTTCCTCTTTATATTTTTCTAAAGTAAAAGATATTAAACCTTGGGAAACTACCTTTATTGTTCCACTTGAGCCATTAAAGTTTGTAAGGTTTAGGATGGTGTTGGGTTGGAATTTGCAACATTTTGATCAACATGGTACTTACTACATTGGTGCAACTTCCACTATCAATGGCAAGACTGCAAGGAGTCCCATTGACTAAACACCTTGTGTGATACAAATTGTCTCTTTGATCATCAACATCATTCTCCGTAACTTGAGTTTGATGAAGTCTTCTTGTAATAAGTGTCAAATGACTCCATCTTCCAATTCCTCCTGTTTCTTCTAGACTTCTTCAACTAGCTCATTGATCTCCTCTCCATTTCTCTCGTTTTGGTCCATGATTGTACAAATCGTAGTTAAATATGCTTAAGACCTCACACACTCAACTCACTGATTTTACACTTGGACACTCGTGTTTATTACACATAAATGCAGGCTATTTGAGAAAGTGACTAAATTATGATCAAGGTAGGCTAATATATGAATAAAGTAATTATTATAGTAGCGAGGTATTCAAGACAATCAAGACAAGGTAATTATGAGATAACAACAAAATAAAACAAAAAAAAAAGATCAAATAAATAAGGGAACAAAGGTATTTTCGGTACACTAAGAATGAATTCAAAAGAGAAAGATAGTTAAGATTAGGACTAAATTTCTTTCTTAACTATAAAATATAAGAGAAGGGTCGAACTTCCCTTTTAGATATTTTAGATCGTGTAATAGATCCAGTTGGAACATTGGAACACCGTGATTCTTATCACTGGAAAGGACGAACTTTGGGTTTGTGGCGCTCCAAACAACTAACAAGTCACAGTTTTGTCTGAATGTCGAGACAAACTCTAGAAAGGACGAACTTTAGGTTTCTAACTCTCCTAAGCTCGAAGAAAAGGATAAGAGTTTTGAAGAACTTTGTTCTGTACTCAGGAAAAGACGAACTTGTACACAAGCATCAAGAAAAGCTCTAGAAAGATCCAACTTTGGGTTCCTAACTCCCCAAATATCTAACATGTAAAAGTTAGGACGAAAAGGGTTTTTGAAAGGATGAACTTAAGGTTTCTAAGTCTTGATAGCCCTAACAAATTGAATTTTGGACAAACTTTGGACCAAACGTCGAGACAAAGTGAGGGAAGAAAGAACTTTAGGTTTCTAACTCTCCAATGCTCCATCTAGACAAAGTTTCGACAAACTTTGGTCCAAACATGAAGACGGACTCCGAGAGGGATAGACTTTCGACTCCCAGTATGATGGAGCTCTAACAAGTCCAAGTTTCACAAACTTTTGTACAAACATCGAGACAAACTCTAAAAGGGACGAACTTTGGGTTTCTAACCCTCCAAAGACTTTCCAAGCCTAGGTTTGGCGAGCTCTAAAGGTAGCAAACTCCACATCCCTAGCCCTCCAAAGCTCCAATGTGTCTAGGTTTTGACGAACTTTGGCACAAACTTTGAGACAAACTTTAGGAAAGATGAAGTTTGGGTTTGTGGCCCTCTAAACCTCTAACCGATCAAAGTTTGGTTCGAACGTCTAGACAGACTCTAGAAAGGATGAACTTTGGGTTTTTAACTCTCCTAAGCTCGAAGAAAAGGGTAAGAGTTTGGGGGAACTTTGGTTTGAGCTCTGGAAAGGACGGATTTGTACACAAGCGTCAAGAAAAGCTCTGGAAAGGACCAACTTTGGGTTCCTGACTCTCCAAATCTCTAACAGGTAAAAGTTAGGACGAAACAGGCTCTTCAAAGGACAAACATATGGTTTCTAAGCCTCGATAGCCCTAACAAATCAAAGTTTGGATGAACTATTGACCAAACGTTGAGACAAAGTGAGGGAAGGACGTACTTTGGGTTTCTAACTCTCCAAAGCTCAAGCTGGACAAAGTTTGGACGAACTTTGGTCCAAACATGATGACGGACTCTGGGAAGGACGAACTTTCGACTCCCTGAACAATGGAGCTCTAACAAGTCCAAGTTTTGATGAACTTTTGCACAAACGTCGAGAAAAACTCTAAAGACGAACTTTAGGTTTCTAACTCTCTGAAGGCTTACAAAGCCTAGTTTTGGGCGAACTCTTAGGTAACGAACTTCTCCTCAAAAGCTCCAACGTGTCAAGGTTTGGATGAACTTCGACATGAACTTCAAGGCAAACTCTAGGAAAGACGAAGTTTGGGTTTGCGGACCTCTAGATCTCTAAGAGGTCAAAGTTTTATCCGAATGCCTAGACGGACTCCAGAAAGAACGAACTTTGGATTTCTAACTCTTCTAAGCTCCAAAAGGGTCAGAGTTTGTGCGAATTTTGGTATAAACTCTGGAAAGGACGAACTTATACACAAGCATCAACAAAAACTTTAAAGAGGACTAACTTTGGGTGCCTAACTCTTCAAAGCTCTAATATGTAAAAGTTAGGACTAAAGAGGGTATTCATCGAATTCATTATCTAATGAATTTTTAAGTTTTAATACTCTAGTATTTAGTGTTGTATATAATTTGTTTTAGTATGAGAGATTAAGATAGAAACAGTGGACCAAAATAAAATAAATTAAAACATGTTCAGACTAAAATAAATTTTAAACGTAGAAACAATCCCAGTAATTTGGTTGAACTTTTGACAAGGGTTATTGCCGAATGACTCTCACTATCCATGGGGTGCTATTTAATTTGATCATATATTTGTTACAATTTTCTCAAGACATATTTTCAGATTTAAACGGTTCTAAAAGGCGTAAGAATGGAAATGGGCCCAACCAGTGGGTGTAGAGGAAACGCTTGACCTTCCAATATTTCCAAGAAAGTAAAGGAAGACGTGGACTCCTCACCAATGTTCAGATCTAACGTTAAAATCAGAGCTGCGGACCATCCAACCCTTTGGGGTTCTTTTTTTTCACATGAAAAATAAATAAATAAAAAGAATTTCATGCTTTTGAGTAATTATAAACTTCTACCAAGTTATCTTTACAAACCATTTTACCTAAAAAATAAATATATATATATATTATAAAGGTTTAATTACGTTGAAAGAAATGAGTTAATGATTGTAGGTGGCATGGAAAGTTGGCAATCAATATCACTACGAAGGCTACCTTTCTCCCTCCACATTACACCACCTTCAATTCTCATTCCTTCAGCATTCAATAAATAACTCCTACCATTCCCTTGCCTCTTAACTCCCATCTCAAACTCTATGGCTTCCAAATCATGCCATCTTTTGGTCATCTGCCTTGCCTTTTTATTCCCTCTAGCCATCAGCCAAGCCCCGGCGCAGCCACCGAGCTTGCCGACCGCAACGCCACCGCCATCCACCCCGCCACCTACCATAACAATTACACCACCCCCTAATGTTGCTGCACCATCAATAGCCCCAACTATCCCACCACCCCAACCGCCTCAAACCCCACCTGTCTCCACCCCGTCTCTGCCTCCGGTATTTCCACCTCCACCTGTTACTCCTCCACCATTGCCACCTCCTCCTGCTACTCCTCCGCCATTGCCACCTCCTTTACCGGCGCCACAGATCTCTCCAACTCCTTTGCAGGTAGCGCCGTTGCCGACTCCGCCAACACCGGTGCCTTCACCGCCAATGCTAGCTCCGGTTGCAGTGCCAGAGTTAGCCCCTGCACCAGCTCCGGGAAAGCATAAGCATAGAAGGCGTCACAAACATAAAAAGCATCAAGCCCCAGCCCCAGCCCCAGCCGTCCCAAGCCCACCAGCACCACCTACAGTGGTGGATTCACAGGATGATAGTACAGCACCAGCGCCATCACCAAATCTGGTAAGCAAATCACTTTCATCATGTGTTGTTTTTATTTAGATATCTATATAGCATTAATGAAAATGAAGAAAAGGTAAAATTGAGATTTGTGTTGTAATACCATATTTGTTTATCCACAGAACGGAGGAGACCCAATGAAAGAAAAGGTGGGAAGATGGGCCAGAGTTGTATTGGGATTCATAATTGTGGTTGCTTCCACAGCCTTCAATTTCTAGTTTTGAAGAGAATTATAATCCACGGTGAATCCAATTAGGGTTCATAATGTTATAGAGTTTGCTCAGAGGCCGAGAGAGATTTTTCATATCTATCATTTTTTTTTTTATATGCTTTGTGGATTGAGATAATAATGAATTCTTCCTTTTATTTTATTTTATTTCATTCCACTTTTCAATATTTAAAATCTTGATGTATGTGATTCTTTTTTTTATATTTTTATAGTTTTATTTTTATCTCATTTTACTATTTTTTTAATCTCTTGGGTAAAAGGTATGATATTACTGTACCCGATAAAATTTACGTCACACTGTGAACTAATTTTTTAAAATCTCAAACTTGCAAACAAGAATAGGTGCTTGTATTAGAGTATTTTCATATTACTTCTTATGACATCTGAATATTAAATATGGTTTTAAATATGAATTTCTTTTATAATTTTATTTTTTTTTTGAAGGTTTTCATTGGAAGGGGGAAACCTATTCGTAAGAGAGATAACAAGTTTAACTTTTTAGTTTTTTTTTTTTTAGGGCTTAAATCTCCATAAAGAGAGCAAGATTTATGTCTCAACCTAAGTATTTATGTGTTTATTTTTTATATATATATTCTTTTTCCTCTATTATTTGTAATTCTTCCAACAATTTTAAGGAGATTGAAACATGTAGTATACTATTGAGAAGCCTAATGAGAATATAGGTCACTGATTTAAGGAATACACTTTTGAGAGATGGAGGGGAGAGTTCGGTCGTACCATAATATTATCGAAATAACATATGTTCTCACGTAAATGAACCCAACGAAACCATGAGTATTGAAGAGTCCATGGAACACGAAAAGAAATTCGATAAACCTGAGAAAGATGAGTATAATTGTCCATACTCTCTTTTAAATTGTCTCATCGATCACTTTTATGATTATTATTAGTATATTACTTATCAAGTCTATTATTAAAGAAGTTCGAATGAAGAAAACCATTATCCACCGATTATGACTAGAATATAGAAGCTTTGCTGTACAAGGATGACCCACACAATCATCACTAGTAGAGTTTGAGAATTTGTTAGCCAACATAGAAATTATGGCTAAACAAATAGAAGGCATCACATTAAAGGGCGAAGGAGAAGCATTGTACACAAGTGAAAGTTGGAGCAAGAATAAGTTGTCTACCAAATGTGGATATAAAAATGGTGACAAAAGAAGAAGTCATCGAGAAACTGCACAACTTAGGAGAGCTTAGAAGAACGACAGCAAGAGTTCTAAAGGAAAGATATTTGAAGGTATTCGCTACAATTACGGGAAGAAGAGCCATATATCTAAGGATTGTTGGTCCAGAAAAAAGTCTATCGATAGCAACATGACAACCTCCAAAAAGAAGATGGAGGATAAATAGGATGCAGAGGTACTATGTGTCATAGAAGAAGACGAACTTGTAACATCCCCAAAGTAAAGTTAAAAGTAACCCAAAAAAATCAAGGAAATAAACTAAGGCATTCAAGCAAGGTAAAAAGTCTCTAAGTAAGTTATTCTAAAGCTATAACTAATAATTAAAGGAGTTAAGGCCTTTGAATGGAAAGGAAAAGACAAGAAAAAAAAAATTGTCATTTTTCCAATTTTTAATGAACTTTTCAAATTTAAGAAGGAATTTCAAGAGGGTCCAGAAGTGAAAAATGATATGCAAAAAATGAAAAATTTTAGAAAAAATTTGGAGTTTTTCATAAAAATAATAATAAAATGATAAAATGTGTCAAATTACAAAAGTTCAACTTAATTATGAAACTACCATGGAAGAAATTCTGTCGGCATATTGGATTTCAAAACCATCCGTTATTATGAATCTTCCCATCTAATTGTTCGATTGAATTGAAAATTGAATATATTCCAGAAGATTCCACATTCTTTAACGGTTGAAATTTAAAACCAATTTTAGAACCAATTTTAGAAGCATCCTCATCCTAGTAGATATTTCTTAAGTAAAATTTAAAAATGTTTAAAATAAAAAGAGAAAGTTAACCATAATTCTGGAACAATCAACGGGCGGTGCAAACTCCATCTATAAATAAGAATTTTTGGGCAATGTTTTAAGACAAGAACGAGTGATTAGAATTTCTAAAACTCAAGTTTGAAGTTTTTAGATTATCGGTTTTTCTTCTTCGAGTTTCTTCTAAATTTGAGAGCTAGTGGTTAATCATTTTTCCTCCTTTCAACTCCTACACGTTCCATATGGGATTTCCAACAAGTTTCATGAAGAAATTGGATCGTGAAAATCTCTAGAATCGGCTGCCAAATAAAAAGTTTTTTGGTTCAAATTTTAACGAAGATAAGTTTTTCGGCGAACTTTGTAAGGTTATAACTCGAGCTACACACTACGAAACGATATCAAATTAGTCTCTACGTCTTCTTTGAAATTTTATTTAAAATTTTGGTGAAGAAATTGAGATCATTTGAGGCCTATATAGAGTTGTAAAAGGGCAAAACCGAAGATATATGAAGAAAAAAAAAATCAGTCATGTTTCCAGCAACATAGGAAGAGGATGAAGCCCAAAGGTCAAACTTTAACCGATAAAAGTCAAAGGTAACCATAGTCAAAGGTAACCATAGGTTGACCTTTCTACATTTTTTTTGATCAATTTAGATCCCTTCCATGTAGATTCTCCTAAATTTCTTTATGGTTCCTCAAACTAGACTAAAAAATGAATCTAATAAAGAAAATTCGGAATAATTTAGATACCAAAAGCTCAAGAACGGAGGTCCCGAACATCAACATCGAAGTAAGTAGCCATTTTGGACTTTTCTTAAGAAATACTTGTAGGAATTGATTGTATTTCTATAATAACATTAAACCATGTATGGGTTAAAGAAATATGAAAGGTACAGCAAGAAGTGAGAGTTAAGACCCTAAACCGATCAAATTGATCGAGATTTAAGCAATGTTAAAATAACTCATTAAATAAACTTTGGTGCCTATGAATTTTTAATGTTGAGCTTATTATAGTATATTAAGATTATATACGAAGTTCGGTGTTTATTGAATAAGGTTAATTGGTGTTCATTGAATAAGGTTAAGTAGTTATACCAAGTAAGGGTGTAAAATGACAATAATGCCACTTTCTATTAGGCCTTATTTTATGATTTTTTATGTTTTGGTGAAATTTGAAAGTCATGGGAATATGTTAGGTAGTTAAACCAAGAATTAGGGATAAAAATGACCAAAATGTCCCTATGACTAACTTACTATTTATAAGGCCTATTCTTAAGCACATAAAGTTATGTTCAAGATTTCAAGTGATTAGAGCAGGTTTGAAACCTAAACGGTTAGGGCCTAAGAAACCTTTAAGGGAATACCTCAAGTAATTTTTCTCAAAACTCAAGACTCTTCTAGAACTATCTAAAGAACACTTTATAACTCCATGACAGTGAATGACTCATATATGTTACTAAGCTACGTAGATCTCAAGAATGCATGATACGACTTATGCTTCCAAAAATTATGAACCTTAGAAATTCTATAATGTTCAAGTTTGAGAACCAACGAAAATATTATACAAGCTCTACAACTACCAAGGAAAAGAAGAATGCTAGGTACCACACAAGGATAAGGGACCAAGGTCCTTAGACAAAGAAACTCAAGAAACTCCTAAGACCTCCCACAGTACAACATGTTCATGACTTAGATTACGCTGCTTGGAACGTATGAAGCCTTGAGTTTAGGTATTCAGACTATGCCACTTGGAATGTATGAAGCCTGGGCATAGGTATTCAGGTTGTATCACAAGGCAAGTCCTGGATGCAGAATCAGACTATATCGCTTGGAACGTAAGAAGCCTTGGATGTAGGTTTTCAGACCCTATGTAGGGCAAACCCTAAATGCGGGTTCCCGTCCCTTGAAATGCATGAAGCCTTGGACGTACGTTAAACCTGTGTCGCTTGAAATGTATGAAATCTTGGACACAGGTTGTCAGGTGCATGACTGATACCGTAAATTCTAGGATGAGTGTCTTGGAGAACGAACCAAGAACAAAACAAGAACCTAGAAAGTAACAAAGAACAAGACAACAATCAAGGACTAGAACATGAATCATGTAACGACCCTAAGTTTTTACATACTCAGAGTCACTACTAACATCTCATGCTCTTCTCTAATGTAGAAATATATCTCTTAAAAGAAAAATCATCTATAGTATAAATGTCGAAAACATTTAAAACATCTTCTATCTCTGGAAAACACAACCATGGTCTTATGTGTTTAAATACGAAGTACTGAAATTTAAAGAAAATAAAAAAAAATACAAAATAATTTAAAACGATGAAATGCAAAACAACCTAGTATAACCTAAGACTAGGAATTAAAATATGAGTTTACCCTATGCACGTGCCACAATCTCTGCTCGCAATACCGCCGTCCTCCGTACATGTTTATGCCTTCACCTGAAAAATGATGTAGCACACGACTTGAGTATTTTGAAGAATACTCAGTGGCCCCACTATAGGGGGCCATGCAAATGCAAACACATAAAATCATGCTCTTGGGACCTATCTCTAGCTCATCTAGGGGTGGCCTCCAGACTCGAACAAATTGGATGTGTAGTACTTCCTTGGACCCTCTGGTCAAGCTAATCTATAGCGACGTCCGGAGGTCAGCGAAATCCCATAGTGTCATGCTCTTCATGAACACCCTGTTCGTCATACTGTGACCGTCCGCACTTATCATCTCTAGAGGAAGTATCCCTATGCTTTTGAACATAAAATATGCATGAGGTCCCTCTAATGTTCATCTTATCGTCTCTTCTGACACAACCTTCTAGTCTAATCTCTTTGTTACATTAAGTAAAACATGCTCATGGATATTTATATTAATATCATTTTCATGCTCTTAGAGTTGTGTTCTATGTTGATCTAACGACATGATGCAATATGACATTCATCATCATATAGCATGCTCAACATGGAAGACATCATCATATCTCTAAATGTCATGCAAGCATCATATTCATCATATTGCCATAAAGTGCCTCAAGCATATCAAGTACGTCATTCATCGAAATATATATATTTCGCACATCATCAAGCATCATAACTCATGTATCATCATAACTCATACATCATCATATAATGTATATGACATCATATGATACAACTCATACAATTTCTAGCCCAT